ATCGTTTCCTAATAGACAGAATATCTTAGAGAAATTATTAATCTGCCTGGGCCTCAGTCTCCCCATCTGTAAAATGGAAAAGCAGGATATTGTAGAAGATCAAGGAGATGGTGTATTTGAAGTGCTTCATGTTACCTGGTGTACAGTAAGCATGCAGTACACATTAACTATTATTGTGACTGCAGTCTTCCTTTCACTTATGTTCTTTTTATCTCCTTACAGAGGAATAATCCACAAATACACTATGGTTTCTTTCAGGCAGCATCCCTCCCAAGTTGACAGAAGCAGGTGGCCTATGCACAAATCATATATCCTGATGTTCCCTTTCGAAGGAATGAAAAGTCCTCATTCTGATTCACAGTACGGTGATTCATGGTTCTCTTCCTTTTCTCTTGTCACCCTCCTCCCCTCCACCGAAAATACGAAAACACAATTAAGAAACCACAGGGCTGAAAGCTGCAAACTCTTCTAAGTCAAACTGTGGGCATTTTCCAAGTAGGACTAGGTTGATTTCTGACCTTAGCAGCAGCCCTGGAAATTCAGGTAGACGGTCTGAAGCAAAACACACCCTGTGATCGAACTTGGTAGCAGCTGTCTGGGTGCTCTCTGCAGCGGATGTGACAGGCGGGTGAGCTGGTGGTGGCTGGCAATTCCTTCTCCTTTAAAGGGAGAGCCTGCAACAAAGTACAGCTCAAAAAACACACATCGCATCACTTTGCTCATCCTAAATGTAAGAAAAACCTGGCTTGAGGTGCTGATCATTATCCAGTCTCTTTAACAAGCTCTTTAGAATAAAACAAAGCACTGGTGAAAACGATATCTGTGTACTACTCAGCTTACCACTTCACTGGGTCAGTGTCCTCTAGGACAGAGGTCAGTTTCCACTCCCCCTACTTCCTGCCCAGGGAGTAAGCATGTGATCATCAACTTATTACATCACTACCCAACCAGTTCCACTGCTAGAAGGGCTACAGCATCCTCTTCTTCACTGCCTTTGGTCATTACTCATCATGTAATTGTAGATGGATTTCCAAACCACAGAATACTTGAAGATATACAACAGGTGGCACTCATGCTCGACACAAGTTTTACTTCAGATGTTAGAGATTTCTGCATGTATTATCATCATGTCCTCCTGTAAAAGACAGGGGTATTGTCTGGAGCCACAAGTATAAATGAGATACACCCACCAGATACTAAGCTTCCACAGAAACCAGACTGTTTCATTTACCATTGTATTCCTGATGCCTAGATCAGCAACCAGCACACAGAACGTGCTCAGTACGTATTTTTTGAATAAGTGAAGCATCTTGCTCTCAAAGTGCCAATGTCTATAGTTTATAAATACATGTAAGCATTAAACATATAAACAGTTAATGTGATGAGAAACATGACGCAAGGAGACACAAAATGCTAGCAATGCTAGGAAAGTCTATACTTTTCATAAACTTAGCAGCCTTTCCATTTCCAAGCTCACAAACCCCTCTTTCATATAGTACAGGTCCCCAATTCAAAATGCTTGGAACCAGAAGTGTTTCAGATTTCAGAATCTGGAATTTGTTTTGTTTTGTTTTGTTTTGGAGATGGAGTCTCGCTCTGTTGCCCAGGCTGGAGTCCAATGGCACAATCTCGGCTCACTACAACCTCTGCCTCCCAGGTTCAAGTGATTCTCCTGCCTCAGCCTCCCTAGTAGCTGGGATTACAGGCACCCGCCACCATGCCCAGCTAATTTTTTTGTATTTTTAGTAGAGACCGGATTTGACCATGTTGGCCAGGCTGGTCTCAAACTCCTGAACTCAAGTGATCTACCCACCTGGGCCTCCCAAAGTGTTGGGATTACAGGCATGAGTCACTACACCCGGCCTTGGAATCTTTGTATTACACTTACTGGTTGAGCATTCCAAATAGAAATATCTGAAACCAGAAATGCTCCTGTAAGCATTTCCTTTGAGCATCATGTTGACGCTCAAAAAGTTTTGGATTTTGGAGCATTTTGGATATTGGTTTTTGGACTGAGATGCTCAGCCTCTAGTAAAAGTGGTGACCATCTATTGATTTCTTATTGTGCACCTGGCATGGAGTTAAACATTTTATAGGCATTACCGAATTTATTCCTGAGAACACCCCTATTATGTAGAAGTGGAAACTAAGGCTTAGAGTAATCACAGGATCCAAGATTGCACTGGTAGCAAAAAGCACTGGTATAAGATCTGTATTCTGGGGACTATCCTGATGCAAATGGCTCTGTAGGGAAAATAATATGGTCCTTGCATGCAGGATGGAACAGAAGTTGGTGAAGGTCATAAGCAACTAAGGTGGGGGATGATTGGGAGATATGGAAGAAACCAGTTCCAGAGAAATAGCCGAGAAAGGTGCAGTGGTACTGCTAATAGGTTAGAGAGATGGGGGAGGGCAGGCACTCAAGATGACTAGCAGTTCTGATTAGTAGTGGCACCAACAAAATAGAAAAAAATTATTAACCTGACATATAGACAAATATAGCTTTTTCACCCAATGAGAGAACATAAATTTAAAAAAGAATTTTTTTAAATAGCTAATATTTGAGTGCACACACCTTTTTTTTTTTTTTTTTTTTTTTTTTTTTTTTTTTAACAAATACTTTCTTATTTAAGACACACGATCACTCCCAGAAGAGTGGAGTATTACCTCTTTCACAAATGGGAAACTGGAGGCTCAGAAAGGCTATTTAGGACCTTGCCCTAGTGATCACCTAGTCAAGAAGCTCGAAGAGCCAGAATACAATCCACATAGGTCCAGAGCCTCAGCTGTCCACCACTATACCCAAGTGGCTGGAGAGGTCATTTTAGACCATTTAAAATGAAAACCAACTAAAAGAAAACCTAATTCACACATCATTAATAAAAGCCAGTTACTATATAGAAAGCCAGTACTGTATAGAAAGCAGACAGCCTGTATTCTTAAAAAGATGATAGGCTTTAACTATCTAGGGCATGAAAAAAAAAGTAGGAGTCTAATTATGGATGCTCTTTCTTTTAAAGTAGAGAGATATGTGCATCAAGTTAACAAGCACCATTTCTGAGTTTTACAAGATGAAGTTTTAAAATGTGAATGATCCTGACTTGTCAGCTTAGCAACAATCACAGAATTCATTACTTACATTTCACTAAGTGGGGAGGGGTTATCTAGGTTAGTCCACCTGGCTATAAAAATAGATTTCTGCAATGTGGGAAGAGTACACTGCCTCATTATTATTCCAGTCTCAAAGGCTGAAATAAGCCCAGCAAGAAGACCATGTAGCTTCCCTGTCATCTCAACAGGTATCGATTTTGAATTTAAAAAATGACTATTCAGTAACGAAGAACTTCATCTCATGGAGTCTTAGCCCACTCCTAGGCAGAAACTCCATATCCCTGAAAGATTAATCAATTCTTCCCATGAACCCCCAGTTCTCATTAGCATTTTTAGGGGAGCTAATTTACCAAATGAGTTCATAAAAGGGTTCTTTTTAAATCCTATACTAGTTTCCTCCCAAGGAGATGGTGACATCAAGGAATTACCACTTGATGTTTTCCTCTTGCATCACATACTTTCAGGGTGTCAGGAAAACATATCTTTACAGCTGCATCTAAGTGAGTTCCACAATACAGGAGCTACGATCATTTAAGGGGATGAATACTTTCTGCACAGTAAAATTGCTGTTTTCCCTTCATTACAACAGACTTATCGTAGCCTCAGGACAGACTTGAAATTACATCAACCCTGCTTGGAAAAGTTCTTAGGAGTTTACAAAAATTTCACCAGTTCTACATATTCCTCGCTGTCTCAGTAATAAAAAACCTAAAAGCAGATAGTTGAGAAGTTTAAACTGGGACCTCAAGAAGTCCAGCATCACTGTAATAGAATTTGTGATTATGGTCTGCTAAAGTTCTAGCCCTTCTCTGACTTCTTCTCTTCACTAGATCTGACTGGCCCAATGTGCTAATTTTGGATAATCAGCACATATAATGTCTAAATCAGTTTTAATACACAGCTAAATTAAAAATTGGGTATCTCCATGCTAATACAAGGCAGCAGGTACAATAATATTGTCAGTAGAATTGTTTTATTTATTTATTTAGAGACGGAGTCTAGCTCTGTCGCCCAGGCTGACGCGATCTCAGTTCACCCCAACCTCTGCCTCCCAGGTTCAAGCAAGTCTCTGCCTCACCCTCCCGAGTAGCTGGGATTACAGGCGCCCACCACCACGCCCGGCTAATGTTTGTATTTTTAGTAGAGACGGGGTTTCACCATCTTGGCCAGGCTGGTCTTGAACTCCTGACCTGGTGATCCACCCATCTCAGTCTCCCAAAGTTCTGCGATTACAGGCGTGGGCCACTGCCCCACGCCGGTCAGCAGAATTTTAAAGAAAATCAAGAAATCTTCATATAAGGTTTTGACTTTTTAACAGAAAAGGCTGGTGTAGACAGGGAACAGTGGCAGATGTGGCAGAAACACAGTCTGCAGTTATGTTACACATTTCCTTTACCACATTGCACCTAAGCAGTTGAGGCACAAACTTTATCACCACCATTTTACAGGTTATGAAGAGTGAGTTTTGTAAAGTTGCATGAGTTTTGCCAAACCACTTAAATGAGTTGACAATGAGCCATCCATCCCGCTAAGATTACTAATCTTGTTTACACAAGAAGATCACAGTTGTGACAAGAAAAAACAAGCTTTCACATTTTTTTCAAGTCTGCAACATTAACTTTACAGAATCCTCTCAATTACAAATGCATTTGAAAATGATCTCCTTTTCTTCATAGTTCTGTTAACTAGTATTACAGTTATCCCAGAAGAAACATCTACCTGTGGGTAAGCACAGATCTTCAATGTTTATTCCAAATGGAGTTTCTGGTTATTTTCACAGCAAACTGTTAGGAAACTTTTAAAGAAAGTGCAAAAATAAGAGAATTGGGGGGTTGAGATGACAGCACGAGGTATTACTCCACCGAATATATTCAATCTGTAAAAACTCAAATCATTCTTTCAAAATGATTAACAGATGCTAAAGGAAAAAGGGAAAGTGGGCAGTAAACCAGGGACTCATTGCTTCACTTGTGGGGCAATCGATTACTACTTCAAATTATGAGTGAAGACCCAAATCCTGCACAAAGGGCAGCAACACAACCCCGTCACTGTTGCTACTATTTCCATCCAGTTGGTCTCTGGATCTCGGAGGTGGTGGGCCAGAATCTGAGCCCGGCTCTACCTCCGTGAACTTTACACAGAGGCTGACACCCAAATCCCCAGTTCTCGGACAAGCGAGTAAGTAGTTGGCGGAGCAAAGAACAACTCCAGGTGCCTTCTGCCAGAACAGATGCCAGCGTGGAGGAGGTGCTTTGTTAAATGGCACTTCAATCAGCCGTGGGGAGAACGGGTTACAGAGCCTCACATCCAGCCTCGACGATTCAACAGCCCGGGAGGGCAAAGGTATTCACCGGGGAGGGCGAGGCTTCCTCTCCCAGGAGAGACCCGCGCTCGGGCTGCGGCCTCCGTCTTTATTTTGAAGCCCTACAGGGCTTGTCTCTGCAGCAGGCTCAGAATGAGCTATTTTCGCCCACAGCCAAAATCAGCAACAGCAAATTACACTGCAAACAATGGCGAGGGCGCCTGCTCGGCTTGGCTCGAAACTCCGGAGAGGCAGCGCAAAGATTCTGACTTTTCACTTGGGCAGAGCCCGTCCGCCGCCTCCCCGCGATCCGGCTGCGCACCGCGCTCGGGCTCCGGCCACACGCCCCAAGGACCAGGAGACTGGGCGGCTGCCGGGACATTCGGCGGGGAGGGCACCGTCACACCCGGGGCGAGACCCCGGAGACCCGGACACGCGTGGCCGCGGGTGGCGGGATTCCCTCGCGGCGCGGCGGGCGCTCCCTGGCGGGGAGGGAGGCGGAGCCCGGGCCGTCGGGGAACCGGGCGTCCCGCACAGAGCGCGGGGACCTGGGCGCCGCGAGGGGCAGGTGGACCTGGGGTTCAGGAACCGCAGCCCGGGCTCCGACGCCCCCCCTCCGCCCACCCTTTCAGCTCGGAGGATCTGGGAGGTACGGACCTCCGGCGGCAACGGAGGCCGGCGGCGAAACGCAGGGGGCGCGTGGGTTAGCGCCGAGCCGCCGCCCCAGCCCGCCTCGCCCCCGGGCCCGCGCGCACCCGCCGCCCTCCAGCCCGCGGCGCTCACCCGACTCTTGCAGCGGTGGTGCCGGCCGGGGTCCGAGTAGGTCCGGTCCACGGTGAGCGCCGTGTCGCTGCCCGGCATCTCCGCGCTCCGGCCGGGAACTTTCCCGTCTCCTGGGGCTGCCGCGCCGCGAGCTGCCGGCCGTGCTCCGGCTCACCCCGGGAGCCGCGGGCGAGGGGGCGGCGCGGCTGCTGCAGCTGTTGCCTCTGGTGCCGACACCCGCGCGGCCGCCCTGCGCCGCCGCCGCGGGGTGGGGGAGGCGGGGCAGGAGGCGAGAGTCTCCTCCCCCTTCCCTTCTCCCCGCCTCCCCCGCGCCCCGCAGCCGCCGGGACCCCACCCACCCGCGACCCGGCGGGCAACGTCTTCGGTTATCCTCGCCTCCCTCCCTGGCTGAAACTTGATTCCACCCCCTCCCACACAGCCCTCTTTCTCCCCAAAAGATGAGCGACATCCACACTACACTATCTGTTGACTTATTTTGTATATAAAAGGTGGCTGTTACCGCAAGAAGTTGACACTTGCCTTAAATGTCTCTTTTTATGTTATTCTTCATTCAACAGGCACTTATTGGGCAGCTGCCATGTACCAGACCCTGGACTAGAGACCAGAGATTTAAAATAAGAAATGAAATAAAATAAAAGACTCCCCCCGCACCACAATTGCCCTGAGCATAGAGCATACTTCCACTTAAACTAAGATCCTACTGTGTTGTGTATTTTAATGTTGCATGTCTGGCTCACCTTTATGTTTTAAGCTACTTGGAAATCAGGATATCTTTTCATTCTAGTATTCCCCATTCCCAGTGATCAGTCCCTGTCCACAAGGAATTTGGAGTCTCGTAGAGGAAGGACCACTGGTGAACAATTTAAGTATCAGTAACCCCAAACAAAATTCAGAACACCTGTGCCGGCTCTGTAGGGTGTACAGTGGGAGACTGGGCTGAAATATTTAAAGTGCAGCTGTTCCAGAGAGGACCTAGAGCCCAATGTGACCAGCCCAGGGGAAGGGAAGGATTTGCCCGCCCTTCATAGGGTTCAAGGGGAGGGTAGAGCAGGCTGAAGAAAACTTTGGAGTCCCAAAAATCAGAGGTACATTTGGGAAAACCTCAAGTCATCAGTTTTGGGGAGTGTCCTCAGGAACAGGAAGACATGATGGAAAAGAAGGCGGAGACCATGCAGGATCTTCGTTCAAGGGTAAGAAGTTCAACCTTATTCTGTGGGAACTAGGCAGCTGCTGGAGATTCCTGAACAGGGAAATGATAGCATGAGAATGGAAGTTTAAGGAGAAGGTATATCTGACATCAGGGTGAAGCAGCGATTAAAGATGGGCAAAACACACGGGCTAGAAGGCCACTGTAAAGACAGAACAGCCTAATTATCCTTCAGAAGGAGACTAGGTAAATAAATGATGGTACATCATCCAACAGAATATTTGGTAACTGGAAATAGAAATGAGGCAGCCCTCTATGAATAGCTTTGGAAGCATATCTAAGGTACATGGTTAAGTGGAAAAAAAGCAATGTGCAGGATAATATATATGGCATTCCACTATGTATGTAAAAACAATATATGTTATGTGCTTCTACATGCATGACATATATCTGGGAGGATAAACAAGAAACTAGGGAAACAGACAAGAAATTGATGCCAAGAGAGGGGAACCAGGTAGCCAGAAGGCAGAGATAGGAGAGAGATCTATTTTTCACTGTGTATACTTTTGAAACTTGAATGTTTACACTGTGGGCATATATTAACTATTCAAAGAGTAAAATTTTTTTTAAAATGTTTTTTAGAGCTAGGGTATCTGTTGCCCAGGCTGGGGTGCAGTGGCACAATCATAGCTCACTGCAGCCTCAAATTCTTGGGCTCTAGGGAGCCTCCCACTTCAGTTTCCCAAGTAGCTAGAACTACAGGTATGCGCCACCATTTCTGGCTAATTTTAAAAATACATTTTTGTAAAGGCAGGGTTAAAACTAACTTAAGAAGAAATTGAAAGTCCCATGTAGTCCTTAAGCCATTCAAAAAATTAAATCAACACTTTTAAAATACCCACCTACAGCTACCCCAACACACAACTATACCAGGCCCAGAGAGTTTTTCGGGTAAGTTCTTTGAAAGAAGAGAAGAGAAATATCAAACGTTGAGGGTGTGTGTGTGGGTGTGTGTGTGTGTGTGTGTGTGTGTGTGTGTGTGTGTGTGTGTCTGTGTGTGTGTTGGAGCGAGATTTTAGCTAGGGTGGCTAGAGAAGTCCTCCGTGATAAGGTGATCTTTGAGCAGAGACTTGGGAAATGAGGAAGCCAGAAGTATAGACATCTGAAAATTTCCAACAAACGGAAAGTCAAGGGCCCTGAACATTTTGGGAGTGTTCAAGGAAGAGCAAGGAGGCCCAGTGGGAAGGAGATGAGGTCAGAGATATTTCAGAGGGCCAGATCATATAGGGACTTTCAGTTCATTTTAAGAATTTTAATTTTGAGGAATATGGGAAGATTTGGAAATTTTTGAGCAAAGGAGTGGCATGATCTACCTTTTCACTTGGATTAAAAAAAAAAAAATTGATCCGTACCTCACAGCATAAACAAAAACCAACACCAGATAGAGGAAAAAGAAAGAAAGAAAAAATTAGCTGGACATGGTGGCTTGCACCTGTAATCCCAGCTGTTCAGGAGGCTGAAGCAAGAGGATCACTTGAGCCCAGGAATTCAGCCTGGGCAACAGAGTGAGACCTGTCTAAAAAAAATTAAAAATTAAAAAACAAACAAACAAAAAATCTGGCCGGGAGTGGTGGCTCACGCCTGTAATCCCAACACTTTGGGAGGCTGAGGCCAGCAGATCACCTGAGGTCAGAAGTTCGAGACCAGCCTGGCCAACATGGAGAAACCCCGTCTCTACTAAAAATACAAAATTAGCATGGTGGCACATGCCTGTAATCACAGCTACTTGGGAGGCTAAGGCAGGAGAATCCGTTGAACTCAGGGGGCAGAGGGTGCGGTGAGCTGAGATCACGCCATTGTACTTCAGCCTAGGCAACAAGAACAAAACTCTGTCTCAAAATAAAATAAAAAATAAAATAAAATAAAAATAAAAATAAAATAAAAAACCAGATTAAAGACTTAAAGGGGAAAAAACACAACTTAAAATTGTCAGAAGAAAATGAAAGCATATCATTATTATCATCTCAAGTAAAAAATAAACAGGACACAACAAGCATAAACCACAAAGATTTGACATTTAAAAATTTAAACTTCTGCTTATGAAAATAAACAATAAAGTGAAAAAATAAGCCACAGACTGAACTCCAGCTAAAAAAAAAAAAAAATCAATATGGACAAATTTCACAAACAATACTGAGAAACATAAAAAGCAAACCACAAAAAATTACTTGCAGTGAGATTCATGTAGGCTGTGTGATAGCTCATGTCTATAATCCCAGCACTTCAGGAGGCTAAGGTGGGAGGATCACTTGAGCCCAGGAGTTCGAGACCAGCCTGGGCAATATAGTGAGACCTTGTCTCCACAAAAAAAAAAAAAAAAAAAAGATTCATGTAAAGTTTTTCTTTGGTTGTTTTTGTTTGTTTGGTTTTGGTTTTGAGACAGAGTCTCACTCTGTTGCCTAGGCTGGAGTGCAGTGGCACGATCACAGTTCACTGCAACCTCTGGCTCCCGAGTTAAAGTGATTCTCATGCCTCGGCCTCCTGAGTATCTGGATTACAGGTGTGCGCCACCACGCCCGGCTAATTTTTGTATTTTTAGTAGACATGGGGTTTCACCATGTTGGCCAGGCTGGTCTTGAACTCCTGGCCTCAAGTGATCCACCTGCCTCAGCCTCCCAAAGTGCTGAATTGCAGGTGTGAGCCACCATGCCCAGCCTTCCTGTAAAGTTTAAGAAAAGCAAGAGCATACTATACACAAATTTCAGGACAGTATCTCTGGTGGGGAGATGAAGAAGGCTTCAATAGAAGAGGGGTACACAATTATAAATATATAATGCTCTTTAACAAATGACTGTTGGTACACTGGATGTACATTCATTCATACATATACACAATAGTTCAGAATAATTTAAAATTTTAAAGGTAACAAAGACTCAAAGGAACAGATATAGTGATCTCCTTAATTCTGGAATTCAAATCACCAGTTAGGGGTACCTTCTCAAATAAATAAACATAATAGCACTTTATGTGTGAATAAACTCAGAGAGGCCCTGACAAACCAGGGTTGGGCTTTGCTCGGGGGTACCAACGGGCATCTACTTTCCATTTCTATTACTGTCTTGATGTTTCTTAGAATTCCATCCTGGAATGCTGACCCTCAATGAGAAGGATAAATTAAAACTTTATTAGGCTCATTTAAATTTCAATTAACAAAGGATGTTCTTTTTTAGATCACTTAAATTTATTTCATAAGCTAGTTGCCCAAAAGCTGCTCTGCTGGGCACTCATACAAAATTATTTTTTAAAAATATACAAATTAAATAGCACAAGAGCAAGCTCCCCAGAACAGAAAGAAAACAATCAGTGCTGATCGCCATCTGGCTCTCCTTTTGGGAGGCAGAACCCAAGGGGAAAACAGACCACATCGCCTCCTTTGGACGCAATGCCAATGCCTAGGGTTTTGTCAGCTCTGGAGAGAGAGGGAGAGGGTGAGTGCAGGTGCAAATTCCTCCTGTCAATGTAAGAATTCTGTGCCTTTCATACCTCCAAGAGCCTCTCTTTGCAGAAAGTAATGGAAAATATAACACTGTTAAAATAACAAATGCAGTCAGAACAATAAGAAATACAAAGGTTCACACCTAAGGTGTGAAATAAGAATTTACTTGCAAAGTGTAAGGAAGGAGCACAACAAGGCAGCAGATGCTAAAAGCACCAAAGAAGAGACCAGGTCATTTGAGCTGTAATAGTTTAAAGTTTGGAGTGATGGTGAAAGGCCTATGAAAAGAGGTAGGATTACACTTGACTTTTGTAGTGCGTGTTTGTTGTTTCAGCCTGCCCAGCATCCCACCCCTTTTTCTGAAGACAGTACCTAGGTTTTCTTTTGGGACCTATCCTACTCCTACTTTTAATCCAAATGGTTTAGATGAGGCAGACCATTCCCATCCTTGGATCCAGAGAGAGGCATGTCATCCAGCCTTGGCCGGTCAGAGTCACTGTGGCTTGTGCAGGGATAGGCAGGTGAGCTAATCAGAGCCGATGAGAGTCATCCCTAGACTTTTGCCAGAACTGCTGGGAAAGCCTATGCCCTTCCAGTGGGCATTGCTAAGCTGGTGCAATGCAAGCCTGATGCTGTAGTGGACATCCTTCCACCATCTAAAGACAGCCTCCCTGGGAAAGCAGAGCCATGAAACGGAGAAAGACTTCTTACTAAATCTTTAGAGCACTAGATCCAGCATTTTCCATTTACTATAGCTGCATGACAAATCACCTTAAAATGCTTTGGCTTGGCCGGGTGCAGTGGCTCACGCCAGCAATCCCAGCACTTTGAGAGGCCGAGGCAGGTGGAACACCTGAGGTCAGGAGTTCGAGACCAGCCTGACCAACATGGTGAAACCCCATCTCTACTAAAAATACAAAAATTAGCTGGTGGGCACCTGTACAGGTGGTGGGCACCTGTAATCCCAGCTACTCAGGAGGCCAAGGCAGGAGAATTGCTTGAACCCGGGA